GATCGGTCGCAAAGATTTTTCTCGGGTTGTCCGCGTTTGGGCACTATTGTGCTGACTTATGAACTGTTTTCTTGTTATTGTTTTTTTTTTTTTTTTCGTGCCAAACAACATGTGATCGGTTGCAAACGAACTATGAACTGTTTTCTTGTTATTGTTTTTTTTTTTTTTCGTACTGTACTTGTATGGTAGCTCCTATCGAGCGTACAAGAGAGCTTCTTCAAGCAACGTTAACGAAGCACGAAAAAATTTCTACGTACAAGATTTCATCAACTCATTGTGTCTTGGCAGAATAGCAGCAATGAAGAACAGCACAGCACAGGGTTAAACCAAGGTTGATCTTCGTATTTGATTATTAAAAAAACAAACAAAGCATAAAACATGTTTTGGTGGTGGTGCTGGCGGGGATCGCTTTAGGGTTGCGTTTAAATTTTTTTTTTAGCTGGTACTGGGGGCTTAGACAGGATGGAGGGAATTATGAACAGTTCAAAACAGTGATCAGTGTTAAACGATGCCTTCTGGGTTCTCTTACATTACACAAGCCCGGCATTCCAACAGGGGTGTGTAAACTTTTGTCAAATCCTCTGTCGGGCACTCCATAAAGCAATTGCCCATACACAGTCAATTGGACTTCCACTCAAGGAAGCCACCAAATTCCATGTGGCAATTTGAGTAGTGCTATGGATTACGACATGGCAGAACAGTCAGTAGTTGGTTAATTAGATGGTTGGCTAGTTAGTTAGCCAGTAAAGTCGAAGAAATATTTTGGTGTAATTAGAAAGATAGTAAGTAAAGCTACTCTTTTATTTTGACCCTTTCAGGGACAGCGGTTACTACAGTGGACAGCTTACCATGTTATCAGGTTACAGGGTGCATGAAAGGGTTAAATACTCTAGTTACTTACATTAGCATGGTGGCCTCATAAGTGGAGAGGTGCAGGATTCGATTCCAGCTCCGGCCTTGCTGTGTGGAGTTTGCATGTTCTCCCCGGGCCTGCGTGGGTTTTCTCCGGGTACTCCGGTTTCCTCCCACATTCCAAAAACATCATAGCAGGCGTATTGAACACTCAAAATTGTCCAGAGGTGTGAGTGTGAGCGCGAATGGTTGTTCGTCTCTGTGTGCCCTGCGATTGGCTGGCGACCGGTTCAGGGTGTCCCCCGCCGACTGCCTGAAGACAGCTGAGATAGCGTCTAGCACACCCGCGAACCTCGTGAAGATAAACAGATTAGAGTGGTGATGGATATGCTGGATACTAAGTGACAGTTCAATTCCATCCACCCTTTTTAATTCTTCATATTTCCAAACTCTCTTTCTCCAGAGCACAAAACAAGAAGGAAACAGCCTTTCATTCCAGAAGATAGTGTTCCCATACGGGGAGTTGCACCCGAGCCGCCTGGGTGAAAACCAGGAATCCTAACCGCTAGACCATATGGGACATGCAAGTTCCTTTTCCTTCCTGTCACAGCCCATTAACTAACATTGAATAAATTTGAATGGTCAGCATGAACCAATCAGATTCTTAACCGGCCTGAGGTTGTGCCAAGTTGTCTACCCGATGTGATTTGTATTCGTTTCAGAATTGTATCAGCCAATTCTGATTCTTGCTTGTCAGGTTCTTGATAAAACTTCCCCAAAACGCACCATGCCAAAGGTGTCAGGAAATCCCACTTATCATTCATCATTCGTCCCTCGTGCGACACGTTTTTTTTTTACAGAATAACTTTTTCTTTCGTCTTCATCTTTGCATCCTCTTTTCTGAACTAGTGAGCGCCTCCTTCCTCCCCTCCCTGCGATTCTCCCTAGGACGGTTGGCAACAAGCCATACTCCGTAAGGCCTTCCTCCGACGTCTTCCCTTCCTGGCAGAATGCCCAGTTTGTCTGTGTGCGTTTGTTTCAATGTGTACGCCGTATGTCTGTGCAGTGAAGGGGGCAGCTTTCTCATAATCGTTGCCATTCAGCACCTCGTCGGAGTGTGTCCGTGTTTACACGAGAGGGGTCATGGACCAGGCAACAACCCTCTCTAGCGTTATTCATCATTTCTCACACACACACACACACACACACAAACACACACACACACACAAACACACACACACACACAAACACACAAACATTAAGTCATGCAAGAATAATGTGAGAAATATCGGAAATCATACTTATGTTAATATGATAAAATACTAGCCATTAGCACAAAACAGAAATGAAGTCAATTACAAAAATAGAGCAACAGAATTAATGTGAACTAACTTGTTAGTGAGGGCATTCATTTGTGTCATTGAAAAAGGCAAACTTTAAAAACCGCTGGGACAAAAGTAACCTAAATTGGGTGAAAGAGCTAACCCATTGCTGGGTTCAAAAGGGACCGAGCTAATGGTTTATTTATATCCAGTGCATTGGGTTGAGAGTTTGACCCAGCACGTTGGATCAAACTACTACGTTGCGAAAGTAGACTGACGATCTTACATTTTCTGTTTAATTAAAATAAGACAATAACAAACATCTGCTTTCACTTTGAAAAAGGATCGAACCAGTAACTGAATTAGTTTCAAAAAGATTGGTGAGCATCATTGCTTACTTATGTTGCAATTTTCATTCATGGAAAATAAGTTACTGTATGTGATTAATTAATGCAATATCGATAGAATAATTGATTCTGAAGATATTCCATTACAAACAATTAACCATTAATTTAATCCGTTTTATGTCCTTTTAAAAGCTACAGCCGCCGGCTTACGACATTCGGTGACCTACTGAGCCAAGCATTAATAGTCAAGACTTAACATGCAAATCTATGGAAGCATCAAAGCAATTAATGCACGCAAAGGTTTGTGATTTACTGCAGGTAGTGGCAGGTGGGGTGAGCCATGAGGAGGGCAACCAGTACCACAGGTTTGCTCAAAGTAATTACGGAGGCAGCAAAGATTCCCCTGGCATGGAGGAATGTGGCTCGTTCTCTCTCTCATCCCCTCTGTTTTCGCTCTGTAATCTGTTATTCCACCCCCCCCGCCCCCCTCTCTCTAATAGCTACCTTCTGCACTCCTCCCTGAGGGCCTGTGGGCCATTTGCTCTGTATTTGCATGCTTGGGCTAGGTGTGTGTATGTGTATGTGTGTAAGCAGTTCAACTGTCTGTTTGAATCCCAAATAGCCCAGGGATGCGCGAGTCATCGGTGGCAGGCAGTTTTACTTGTGTGAGGAAATGATGAAAGACCTTCAAGTGTGCCCCTGACTCGCTTTGGGGCTGTCCAAACAGCATTACCATTGAACCTTTCGCAGAGTTAATATTCAGGCTCCTGCTTGCTGACTCCTGGTGAAGATTTTTTTTTTTTTTTATTGACACATTCAGGGTTGCCGGTGTCTCGTCAACCGGTTACTTCCACTAATGTGAGTGATGGATATTTTGCGTATGTACGTGCGAGCCAATATACCCCGAGAGCTGAGGAAAGCACTCCCATTAGGAATGTCAGTTGGATTCGCAGATGGAGGAGACGCTGAGGTGGCTACGTACAAGTACAGACACGGCTTCCCAATCAGATGCATCAAAAATTCTGTCTTCCTGAAGATGATAATGTGATTGACAGTGTCAGAGTGGTATTCATTTCAAAACACGTTTATTATTGTGAGCGTAGCTTGCAGTGGTGGAAATTTGGATTAATTGGTGTCTGCTATTGCTTAACGCTCCTTTGTTTCGTTTTGACTTGAATCATCATGTCAAAAAACATAAAAGAAGAAAATATGGCCAGCAGTAGCTTTTTCTTTCTTTTTTTTTTGTGCATAAAAAATGAATAAGGATGGCTCAGTTTCACCCAAAATACGAGTACAAAATCGTATGTCACTGCAAACTACAAGCACTGAAATTTAAGATACTCTGAACGGTGGAAATTGAATAAGTTGTTGTTCCCGTACTCTAACTTTTAAACAGTCATTTGCTGACAGTACACCTTGCCTTTATCCAACTTCTGGTTCATTTGATTTATTTATTTTTTATCCTGTTTGTCTGCCCCAGATGATATTTGCACTTGCCGAATTGTCATCTATGAGTCACTGACATTCATTTTGATGTGGGGTGAAAACCAAAGCTAATATATTTCTCAAAAAACAAAAAACATTCTCCAAAGGAATGTGATTATTTGATGCGTGAAAACCAAAGCTAATATCTGTCTCAAAAAAAAAAAAAAACATTCTCCAAAGGAATGTGATTATTTGATGAAGTCAATAGTAATTGCGGCTTGGAGTTGAATAGCAACTCATATGACTCAAAACCCTCCTCTAGTATACACATCACTTGGAGAAGCTGGCGCTCATTAGCAGCTCGGGGTCATTTACAGCTAATGAGCACATATAAGGCCTGACATCACTAAATCGGCACTTTGTGTACACACCCAAATACACCACGTGGGTTCCAACATCGCCATGTTTTAGTCAAACACCTGATGAGGGCGGATGCGTGATGACGGTAAAACATTTAAATGCGATGAGACAAATGAGGTTCAACTGTTTGCATAACAAAACAAAAAACATGGATGTTTTGGATTCACGCTACGCCCTCTCTAAGACGTCTGACACACCAACAAAACGGCGCGCATGCATGCCAGCATGCCAGCACGCGTGTCGGCAAATACTACACGGTCGACTGGTTAGCACGTCCGCCTCACAGTGCAAAGCCACTTTTATTTTTATTTTATTTGTTAAAGAATATATTTTTTCAATTTTAGTTTTTTTGATTTAGTTTTCGTGAACTAAATTAACTTTGGTGGCCAACTAGTAGGTTTTGCACCGGTCAGGTCCAAGTCTGGTTCGGAAGCATTGTGCCCCTCTGTGGAAGAATTTAGCACTGAGGCTACGTAATGCGTCAAGCCACACATGCACGGACAAATTGGTACACATCAACATATATCTTGATGCAGTTAACACATGCACGGTAACAACTACCTGTTTTAAAAATTATTTATCGGCACAGTTGCAGGACTTTGTGAATGTAATTATTATTATTTAGTATTTTTTTTTGCTGACTTTATTCCTGGTGATGACTGTCAGTGAATTCTAATTTTAAAAAAAGAACTTTCCACATGCATTTGGATTGATATTTTTCTTTAAAAAAATAATTTTCATGAAAGTTATAGTAATATTGTTATGGTATCATTCTGGAAAAATAGATAGCTGTACTGTATATACAGTATAGAGTTGTACAACGCGATGGATGCATGGATAGCAGGATAGACAGACAGACAGTGAGATGCTCACAGGCAGAAAACATGATTGCAGTGCACCATGTATGGCACAGCTTGCCCTATCTATTGACAGCGCAATGTTTACACAAGGCAGGCGTGTACTGTACATCCAAATGGAGCCCGCGCAGGCAACACGCAGCCAGCCCGACCCGGTGTGAGCGGCTGGGCGTCCCACAGGGCCACGGAAGGATCTCTGGCTCTCCGTGGTTGGGAGGAGCAAGGTGATCTGTATTCATTGGCCTGCTTTGGCAAGGCCTGCTGTCACGGCCTCCCCACCCCCTCCCCATGGGAGGCACCGGCGTGTAGTGTAAATGCACGTGTGTGTGTGTGTGTGTGTGTGTGTGTATACACTTGCCTCTCATGGCACTAATGCTGCCTGACAAAGACGAATGGAGCCAGACCACCCGCTTTGAGCAAGCGGAGGTCCAGCGAGCGTCAGCGCAAAGGGAGTATTCTACATAAATAAAAAAAAGGAAAAGGAAAAAACATCGTGTAGCAAACAAGTGAGGAGGAGGAGGAGGAAGAAGTGAAGAGTATTGGAAATGCATTACGTAATTGCGAGAATGTCAAACTGATTTTCATTATGGGCCACGTAGCTCTGGTTTCCCTGAGGGGGGCCGTGATGACCGTGAGAATATTGGAAATGTATTGGAATCAGATCACGGTCATCATATTACATTTGTGTGCTTGAACTGGTTAGTCGACGAATCGACTTTACTACTCTCAATCAGCGTTTCAAATTTGAAACGCATTCATCACTAATCATTTTTTTTTGTTTTGAGCATCTCGGGCCTTCTGCTGACGTCGTCGGACTAAAACGATCGGTGGAGCAGGAAATGAGATGATGAGGGTGACAGGGGGGCTAAGCAAGGCCAAATAGTCACCATGAGTTAGCGTGGCGATGTTGAAGATATTTGAGAGAGGAGGACGACAAACAGAGGGTTTCATAGAGTGATTTATCATTTTTTACTCACCCAGTCTTTGCCGCTGGTGCTGGAGTAGCAAGAACCACCATTTCTATTCATATGCGTGACCTTGAAACGACAACTAGCAGTACAGTGCCCTCAGAAAATGCACTTCAGTGTAGACTAGAAATACATTGACATAAATATGAATTAAAAAAAAAAAAATTTAACAATTGATTTGAAAAATTATTTGTTGACCCCGACTAATGTGTTTGCTCATCTAGCGATGCAACGGACGTGTACTGACAGGCCGAACAATGAAATGCACTTCCACAAGATGGAAGAAGATACAAGAAACCGACAGTACGTGTTCATCTGGTGTCGTTTGCACAACAGAGTCCCAGCTTTGCGTGACGCGAAACAGGCAACAATTTTCAGAGAGAAAAAAAAAGGACTTTAGGATTTTGTGTATGAATGCCTTTAACTTGAAAAGTTCAATCCATATCTCATCGGATATCATTTTTGTTTGTCAGCATGAAATATATCTGACGTCAAGAACAAATGTTTTTTGCTTCTTCATGGAAAGATGACACAAGACATTATTGACGGATCATATTGATTCTTTGGGTGGAAAAACAAAATGATAAAAATATGTGGTGCTCAATTGCTTTGAATGAGAGACGAGACGGGAGTATTGGGTTAAAAAAAAAACAAACAAAAAAAAACTAGCAAGCGCATGTAGAACATGCAAAGTCCACGATGCAACCGAGCTGCCTCGAGGGAAATCCCAGATCAGGCAAATTCTCAAAACAAATTCCTCTCTGCACACCTTTACACAGAGGTTCGCAGAATTAAAGGAGGTTCTTGAGTGGTATTTGCCCTGCCGGTCTACAAAGTTTGATGTGCGGTTTTTGCATCATCGTATGTCACCAATTAACAATCTATTGACACTAAAAACATTGCAAGCAGTTTGTATCGTGGTGCCTTTCTTTAATATCGCTAAACTACGAAAAGGAGGTTGCTGTTGTGTGTACAGTAAGCAGCCTACAATACAAATCCAGTGTGTGATGGATACTTTACTTACAAAGAAGCTTTTGAAGTGAGATTACGATCTTGCGGGTGTTGACATGTAGCATGATGCTTCGGGCGAGGAGAGTCCACGAGGCCTCCTCTTACGGACCGACTGTGTCATGTGGAAGTCTGTTACAATCGTCATAATGACTGGCTTTTGCCGTGAATGCGCAGATGCTCTTTCTCTAGGCTAAAATGGCAGCCCACTTTTCTGGCCGAGAGTGGACTTCCCCCCCACCTGCTTGTGTTCACGACAAGACTCGTGTCAGACTCATGAAGACGCTCGGGAGCGGCAAGAGTGCTCATGAGAGAGAAAATGGACGAGATGGTGATTGCCAAAGGGAAACAGAAAAGCTGCGCTCGTGATAATGGGAGGCCTGCAATCAGAGAGGATAATTTCGACAGTCACATGACTGTGATGTGGTGATGACGACGGCGACGAAAGGTTTTCTTTTCTGACTGAACTGACGTGCAACGCGTTGCTTGGTTATTGTGAGCTCAATTTCTATTAGTAGCTTTGTAAACGTTTAGAGTACACTGGTACCTCTACTTATGAAATTAATTGGTTCTGGAAGAAATTTCTTAACTAGAAAATTTTGGAAGTCGAGACGCGTTTTCCATGTAAATGCCCTAATCCGTTCCAAGCCCCCCCCGCCCAACCCCCAAATTCAGACATAAATGTTTTCTAAAGCATAACAATGCATCAAAATATGTAACAAATACATGTTACAATTAGATCATTTCACAATAAATGAGAGTTGTGCATAATGTAAAAAACAAATTATAGAGTTAAGAATAAAAATGATGGTCATTTAACTTTTAACTGCGTCCTCGTAGTTTTTTGCCCCCTTTAGTTCATGTTCTCTCTCAGAAGTAGTTTTCGCCTGGCGTTTTGTAAAGAACTGGTCCAAGGACGTTTTCGTTTGTCGGCTATTAACAATCCTTCGAAAATGTCCAAGGCAAACATCAGCATCGTGAGCGATCGCCCGACTGGTGAACACTTTTTCTGGGTAATTCACATTTACGTAAAACTAGCGGAACACCTCATGGGCGAATGACGAGGTCGTTGCATCGGTGGAGGTCCCTCTTAGCCAATGGGATGCCAGGAAGATGCTCGGTAATAGCCAATGGCAGAGCAGCTATACTTATGTTGCGTTCAGGAAACTCGGAGCTGCGAGGAACATCCCATACTGTATTTTTACCTTTCCTACCTTGAAATTTCTTTGGCGGTCAACCTTGTATGTCAAACAGCAGAAAGTACAGTTGGCCTTGGACCGGGGTTGACGATGCGGCGATTAAATGCGGACGCGCGGCGAGATGCTGCGCTCCCGTGCGGCGTGTTAAATGAAAGAGAACCAAGGTGAGATGATAATAATGACCCGAGTCAATGTCCCTCCCAGCGAGCGCTTGTTTGCGCAGGAAACGAATGCATGTACACTGTCACATCAGAGACATCAGAGCGCTTCGAAGGATTAATGTCCATGAATGATGATCGGGAAATAATTCCATCAGCCTTTTAATAAATCATTTAGTGCCACTTCCTTGGATCTTGGCTGTATTAGACGAGAAGGGGGATGGGAGGTGGGGGGCGGGATTGCTGTTCATAACACGAGGGAAGGAAGAAGGGAGGAGGTGGGAGGTGATGGAGGTTACTGCGGAAACACTAATGACACCCAAGCCCTCTTCCAGTGCTTTTACTTGATAGCGGATGTAATTGCTGCAGGTGCGCTGGTTATTGCTGCAATGCATCTCGCACTTAACCTGCCGCATGGCTGCTGATTGGGACACGTTTGTTACTCGGTCATATTTCTTTCATTCTCAGATTAAAAAAAAGAAAAAAATCTGAAGTCACTCAGAGATTACTCAGTATTTGAGGAGTTCGTCCACAGAGGACTTTCGGACGCTTACGCTTTGTTATTTGGGTGACCACATCTTACTTTGACTTGAGTCATATTATAGTAATCCCTCGTTTATCGCGGTTAATGGGGACCAAAACCACCCGCGATAAATGAAAATCCGCAAAGTAGTGACCAATAGACATATACAGGTTTTTAAGTCCGCAAAAAGTCCGCGAGAAGCTGCAAAACAACAGCGAGTCACATAGAGCAACATATACAGTACTGTACTCCATGTATATGGAATTTTTTTTTTTTTTTTTATGAATATGTTTGAAAAAATCCGCGATGCACTGAAGCCGCGATAAACGAACCGCAAAATAGCAAGGGATCACTGTATTCTGAAGTAACAATACTCTTGACTTGAGTACAATTTTTTTGGCTACTCTACCCTGCCTCTGTTTGTATGAATGGCAGCAGGTGTATTCACAAGTGTATTATACCTTCTGGCTTCTGCTATCGAGCGGAAGAGCATTTCATTGTTCGGCCTGTCACTGTATGTTGCCGGCATAGATAGATGAAAAAAAAAAGTATATTATTTCTAGTAGATACAGTAGATGATCATTTTTGGACAAAGATTGGATTCATTTCCGCAGGACCACCGAGGAGCTCTCATGGCCCGTTAGTGCGCCATGGAAATCACTGGATTAAGAGACCAGATTGCCCAAATTCCTTTGCATTATCAAACTTGCCAACTGATGAGTTTGGAAACGCATAACCTCAGTTGATACACGTACTTGTCATGATTGCATCGCCGCACAATTCACATGCAACGCCACCGTTTCCATTTGCCCAACGCTAAAGTGATGATCCCAAGATGGAAACGGAACATGCCAAAAGGTGCTAAAGCTTCATAGCCCTGCAGTAAAATAACATCTTGACATTTCCGACAGGACTTGCAAATATGTCTCAGACTCTTAGACTGTGGTCAAAGGCGTAGAACCCGAAGGCAATTGTCTGCTCAAACATCGACGCCTGCGCGACGACCAACGTGGCAAAGAAACGATTAACCCGAACCGCATCCATCCAGACTCGGTAAGGGGAGAGGCTTACACCCGTAGGCTGATTACTGATTACCGCTTAATTGCTGACTAAGCGATAAACACGGAGGCTCAAGGTGGGCCGCGTCAACGTGATTGTTTGGATTGCATTGCTGAAGACGGTTCGGGGCAATTCGTAGCCCACCGTGGCCAAAGTGTGCGCTATTATCTTACTTTGTTGTCGCGGGCGGGGGGGTCCATGATTAGCCTGGGGAAGAGACACGAATACACGTGTTCAGGAGATTCCCTCACGGTAAAAAAAAAAAATTGTCATTAAGGAAACTCTTAACCGCCTTTCGATGACTGCAGGTAAAAGGTCAAAGAAGAAGCCTGGAGCCACTTCATGTTCGTGGAGGCCAGGTTGCGTACTCATGAGGTTAAAATTGCTGATTTGATTTTTAATCCACCGTGCAAGTGTGTATGTGTGTGTGTGTGTGTGTGTGTGCATGAAACAATTCTAAAATCCATTTCGGTATGATTGTGCACGCTTGTCCGTACGTCCCCTCGAGGTAGTTGATGGTTTTATAGCCTGCCCACTTATTGCCTTCCATGTTGCAGTTCACATGCTCAGCCACGCCGTAATGAAGTTGCCGTTTATTGCTTTTGCAGTCAAAGCAAAGGAACCACTTCCCACTTTCAAGCTTCCGTTTGTCAAGCTACACACGTCGGCAAGTGTAAAAACGTAGTGCTCTTAAATGCCGGGGGACTGTTTTGAATGTCAAGAAGGGCGAAAAGTTTTTGTAGTCGACTATCACCTGATAAAAGTCGAGTCAAACTCGAGTAATCGATGACCTTGTTGGTGGGTTTTTTTTTTTTCAAGCACAGTACAGCCCACAAGCCCCAAGCTCTTTTTCGTGGAATGACATATTTTGACGGACGGGCATAGAGATGAATATAATAAAAATGATTAGTAATATAAAGAAAAAAGTGTCATGTAACTTTAAAAGCATATTACATGACATAAGCAGTAAAGAAAAGATTCGAAACAGGTTATAAACTGGTGCGGCAATGTCTAGTATCCGGCATTAACTTTTTAAATAATGTCATTGGGATGAATGAGAGGAGTTTTATTATTTGTCGCGGTGCCTTTGAGTCGTTTGCAGCAGAATATTGAAATGAAGAGTCACCAAAAGTAGTGTGGACAAAAAGGTGAAAACTTGAAAATAAATGAGATGGTGAATTGGGGTTCGATGTCTAAACAGTTAAAGTCTATCCCAAAATGAATTCAAGATTTCAGTGTCGAAAACGTCACAGCCATTGACGTAGTTGGACCCAAGTAACTGCTCACACCTTGATTTTGATTCCGTTTTGAGAAAAACGGTCCCAGAGCCCCGCCCCTCCCAACTCCTTGCCACGCCAGATCAATACTTACTCAAAACCTCACGATGTAAAGCTAATTACATACACAGCATTCGCAAAGCATCACACGAAAGGAACGCTCAAACATTTGCCTTAATCGAATACACCTGAGAGATCCCCTGCGCCATAATGTGACCCCCCCCCCCGCCCCCAACGCTCACTCTTTGATGAATGTACATCATCCACACTTCATATGTGTGCACTTCTCGGGAGAACTGGGATTACAACTGAAACATGTGAGTCTGAACCCTATGTATGTATGTGTGTTTTCCACCTAACTTCACCCCCCCCCCCAACACACTCACACACACACCCACACCCTAATTAGCTTCCATCCTCGCTGCCATACTCACACACATGCACACACATACACAAACCCACACTATAGCTGCCAGGCAGGGTGGAATTACCAGAGATGTGCTTCAACTTGCCCGTCCGCATTCCCTCAGGAAACCATGGCAACCTAGCCAGAGCATATGTGATGCGCCAGCTCGCCTTTGAAGGCGCCGCAGTGCCCATCAGAGAAGTACAGCCCAACTGAGGGCGGCGGTGGCGCTGGAGCCACTTCACATCCTTCACGAGCTGAATAGGGTCAAGCCTGCATGGCAACAATCTCCTCTTCCTTTGTGCTGCTCGGGCATTCTTAAAAAGAAACCAGGGGAGCATAAAACTCATTCACTCGCTCACCCACTCACTCGTGCACATGCACGCTCTCCCTTCCGCGTCTTACGCACACACACACACGGACGCACACACACGTGCACGCACAGCTGCAGAATGTGAAGGTCTTATGGGAATGGAAGGGTAAGTGCAAAGCAACCTCAAACTGACCCTTGCTTGAATTAAAGTGCGTGCTCGTACTCTGTACACACAAAGGGGGGAAGCCAAGGAATATTGCAGCATTCCAAGAAACTTGTTGGAAAATTCTGATGTGGGAAAAGTGCAAGAACGCCGCCGGAACTCAATACTCGATGCTGGCGGACTCACACAAAATTTCCATAAAATGTTATTGACTATAAAAAGCTTCTGTCCAGTGCAGTGGTCAAGAAAAATTGCATTTGTCATTCTTAAC